CTGTTCGAAAAGATGATAAGTAATATAATACGACGGAAAGGCGGAGGCGGGCAAGATGAGGTGAAGGGAGGAAAAATGGCCGAGTGTGATGAACAGCAATATTCCAGAATTGAAGGCGATAGAATGTAGGCAATCTAGTGTTCCAGAAACTGCGCGTAAACGTGTGCGTACAAGGTAACATTATCGAGATTGCCTCCAAACTAAAAGTGCGGACGGAGCATTCAGAACATTAATATATCCTAGAAAAAGTCACTGTACTGATTACTGATTCATCTCAAAGTGTGCAGGCCAATCAAATCGTTGCAATCGACAAATATCGTTGTGTGCGCTTACGTGTATGTGTGTGTCTGTGCGTGTATTTTTGCGTGTGCCTCTGTGCGTACGTGTGTGCATGTATGAAGAGTGAGTTTGCGTGACGAATCAACCAACCTTCACATGACTCCTTCTTCCGGGCAAGCGAAATATCAGGCAGGAAGAAGGCAATGACGAGGCAAATGGGCACCATGCTGCACCGAGCCCGGAGAACGCAATGTGCTCTACCCGACCGCACGGATGCTGTAGCCCGTCAGCCCTCCCTTAGTATGCGTGGCTTTAGCAGACGTCAGTGCAAATACAGCCTCTCTTTGCAATATTACATCCCACACAACACGGTGCGCTTCTGTCCGGCTGATCTCGTCCGGTGCGAGCCACTGTCCATCCTGACCAACAGCTAGCTGATTATGAGGCAAGGGGGGTGCAGCTATCAGCAAGTCACGGACGTAAGCTAGTGGAGCGACTATGTGCGGATAGAAAATAGGTGCCGTTTCTGCTCACACCTTTCCAACCGGCCTACCGTGGTGCATCAACAGCTGAAGGGAGAGAGGGATACCAGGAATCTTAAATTGTTCGGGCTAGTGTTACGTAGTTTTTATTAGGCTTCAATTTGTACTGATTTCCCCGTCGGGCTCTGGAAAATGTAGGACAGGTAGTTTAGTGCAAACCAGGATAAGTCAGAGATTCGCCAATCTTTTCAGGAAATTTTCAACCTTTATGGAGCACGCCGAGGACAGCGTTCGACTGTCTCTATCTGCTCCACAAACGAAGGAGCGGGAAAATTTTACTGCGCAGAAATAAGTCTGAGACGCTACAAAAAAAAAATGCCTGCTTGCTTCATTCTGATAACTTTTTGGTGTACATTCTTGTCTCACAGCAGA